TGATCCATCGAAATTGATTCATTGGTCCAGATTTCAGAGATGTTTACAGAAGAGATGGCGTGATGCTTGACCTTTCCAGCGATCCAATTCAAATTCAATTATTTTTCGAGGATAAATCAGGATACGAAAGAGTGCGGCGCGGGCGTTTCTTGTCATTCAAAGTCGTGGGACAATAGGTGCAAATGCACACAAGCACACAGCCGTCATGGAGGCGCAGTCGATTCGATTCTGTAGGGAGACTCACAATCAGAGTTGCCACTTTACCCGGCACACATGATGTTCGCACACTTCCTATACTCTTCAGTCTCCGTAAGGACATACCGTTGTGGGGCCACCGCCCGATTTTTAAGCTGAGAAAATGTCTATCGTCGATTTCTAACGGATTCTTTGCGCAATTTTGATATCTGTAATCGTTTTTGTTGTACGGTTAACCGTTCTTTAGATTAAGGCGAAAAATTGCACACAAAAAACCCAAAAATCGTTAAAAATATCCAGAACGACCCATTAAAAATGGGTTCAGGCAATTCTTGCCTGTTTCATTGAAAAATACGCAAAAAATCACATGTGTGCATCTGCCGCATCGAAGAATGAACAGCTTTTTTCGGCTCGATTTAAAATTAAAACCATTTTTCCGCCGAAAAATTGAGTCGGCCGTTTTGGCCGGAAAGAGTTGCACAGTCACAAAAACATTTTGCGCCAGAATGCACAAACCCTACTTCAAGACTGGGTTCAGATGATTTTGTGAGGTGGGGTCAAAATCGACCCTTATCGAAACCCCTCCTTTCAAGTGAACAAAACTTAGTGTTCTTCAAAGATAACTTTCTTTCTGAGAGGTAATTTGGCAAGATTGGAATGCTCACACGGCGATCTTCCTTAGTACGGAAGTATGACGCAGCGAACATTTGGTTCATATGACCAAACTTTTCTTTTGAGTGATTGTGATTTTAACAATATTTATTTCTCGGGACACGATTTTTGAAAGCACAGGTACTGTTGCGTGAAGGTATGGTGACTCCATCGGACACACCGGATGCCAGTCACTAAATGGATGTTTCGGAGAGAAACGAGATGAACTTGCAGACGGCGGCACGCGCTCGTCGGGCGCTAATGCACCGGTGCAAGGTCATGAACCCATTGTGATGAGGCGATCCGCGGAGTATCCAGAAGACACCGGATCCATGATTGACGCGCATTTTTTAACAGACCTATATCCACGCCCACCGGTTGAGCAACGCTCACGATCCACGCAGACGCAGTCGCATATCGACGGTAGTCCGCAACCACTTATCTCGGTTTGCGACGTCGCAAACTTCCTGTCATACTTCATTTTTTTAATGAAAAACCGCTTAACGGCAGATGGAGATTGCATGTGTGAGGAATTTCCGATTCGACTGTTGATTCTTATGTAAAAGTTTGCGAGAAACACGATGGTGGTACTGGTTTTCTCTAAAATCAACTCCCAAGCTCAAAAAAAGCTCTCAAGTTCAGGCCAAAATGGAGGGGATATCCCACCCTACCCTGAGAGTCCACCTCTACATCAAGACAAACTCTCCATGCAAAGATAGGGAGCAAATACATTGACAGGGCTGCCACTTCATTTGGGGACTCTAAAACTGAAAACACGGCAGCCCTGTCAATGTATTTGGTCCCTATCTTTGCATGGAGAGTTTGTCTTGATGTAGAGGTGGACTCTCAGGATAGCGTGGGATATCCCCTCCATTTTGGCTTCAACTTGAGAGCTTTTTTTGAGCTTGGGAGTTGATTTCAGAGAAAACCAGAGACACCATCGTGTTTCTCGCGAACTTTTACGTAAGAATCAACAGTCAAATCGCAAATTCCTCACACATGCAACATCTCCATTTTTGAAAACTGCCGTGATTTTTCTTCTTAGCGCCAAGAAAATTCTGCGAAAACTTAAAGGAATGATGTCGATTTGTTCTCCTTTGAAAAAGTAAAATATAAGCGGAGGTTTTCAAACACCGTAAACGAGATATGTGGTTGCGGACTTAGGCCGTCGATATGCTACACCTAGCAAACGGAAAAATTAGACTACATGTTGCAATTAGGAATAAGATTTCTGGCTCATCGGTGGAAACACTTATGTGCATGGAAAAAAGCCAATATTTCATTTTCAAGACTTGCTTACGTATCGAATATGGATGTAACAGTTGAGTCACACGTTCAGATTCTGACATGAGGGAATTACAAATCGCAAGCATTATCAGAAACATGCTTCTTTTATTTTCGCCACACGAAGATTGTTGCTAAAATGTTCAATCATAAATGAGCCATCACTCTTATTAGAGAGTTCGGGGATAATAGAGTAATTTTAGCAAACTAGGTTACTGCTAATTCCAGGCGAATTATTAAAATAATTATACTTTTAAGAATTAGTACATAAAAATTCAAATGAATGTCAATGCTCAGTCTTCAAATGGTCGGAAAAAGTCAAATATGTTTGTCCTCGTGTGGTTTTATTTAATTTTTTAACCTGGATTGGGCTTTCTAAACATCAAAATTTTTCTTCACACCTCTATACCTTGGACTCTTAACAAATACATCGTTCCGATTTTAAGAATTGCATACGCTGCATTTTTAAGTACATTTGTAGGCTGTCATATCGATGAGAAAATTTGCGTGAATCCGAATGATGTCGTGAAGCCGATGATAAACCTGGGTAAAAACTTCAACGCAAAGAAAACACTCTATAAAACCCGCATCGCCGACTGGTCTAGCGGCGAGCTGCGGCGCCTTCAGTTGCACTGAAGGCAACATGCGTGACGCCTCAATAATACAGGACCTGTGATTGTAAGGTGCGATATTTCCATCTGTGTTACCCAAAAAGAAAATCAAGATGACCATTTATGACGGTGCTTTAATCAATAATTTAAAATGTGATTCATTTACGATGGCAGGCGCACAGAAATTTAAGATGATGGAAAAAGAGTGATTTTCCGATAAGCGATAAAGCATTTCATTCAGAACAGATCAAAGACGTCTACTAGTTAGTACAAATTTTCTCCTGCGTCTGACACGCAGGAAAACACACAAAAGCCTAATCTGGCCCGTAAGAGAGAAGAAAAAGAAAAAAAAACCCTAAACTCCATAAAAGTAACTTTCGAGTCAATTGAGACTTCGCATTACGAAAAGCAATGGTATAGCCCTTGATTGGTAAAAAGTAAGGATATAATTTTCAAAAATTACACGTGAGAGCTATATATCTTTATCATGTAACTTTTTTATTTTTTTTTTATTTATTTATTTTTTTTTTTAAAAAGTAGCCTAATGGTAAAAAGGTAACCTGACTCAATCCAAGATAATCCCATGTAGACACACCAATATTTCACTACAGTTGTAGGGGAAGATACGAAAAATATTCGAAAGACATCTTGAAAATAAGAGAAAATATCTCTAAAACCGGAGATAAAGGGATGGATACTGTACACCACGTACAGCTAGCTACTCAATAAGTAATTGCATTACTGCATACAAAATAATTATGATACTACTGTTCGAACATTGTATTTTTTGCGGCATAACTTAAATCCAGGAGCATTCATTCGAGTTAAAGGGCTTCACTTCTATTTGGACATTATTAGGCACTGGAGGTTCGGTAATTAGAGCACAATTATGATTTTTGTCACATTTTAGTTTTATTTATTGAAGTTCACATAAACATCTACTTCATACCCTTTAACCTTTCAATAACTTTCATCAAACTTTAATCACTGAAATGATTGCAGATTCGAGGTAAATTCCAGAGCAAGAATCCGAAAAAGTAAGAAAAAAAATGAATAAACAGAGACTAGAATATATGAAACCAATCGAACGGAGTAAAGAATCACTTCCGAACATTGACACTGACACGTTAAAAATGAAGACGAACAAAACTGCATCCAGTAGCTGCCCGACATTCGACGCTAAATCGCGACCTCCACCTTAAACTTTCAACTCTTGGGCCGAAGTGATCATTCAAATTGATCATCCTGTCCGACCTAAAGACCCGGTTTTTGCGGTTTTTTACCCTCCCTACCAAAAGACGAGATTGACATTTTGGTCTAAGCTCAACAGTCTTAGTCATCCGATATTGCCAAAACAGCTCGTGAGACAAATCCTCGTTGTCCTCTCGAGCCTGCATTTGATTTTTTTTAAATCAACCCATTTGGCGACCATCCTGGGATTAGGGGGGGCAGCATCTTAAAGTAGCTCAATATAAAAGACTCGGTGGAAGAGCTTCTCCAACAAGATAGCGAAACACGTGTATTCCGTTCGTATCAGTGATTTACAATACAGTGCACTGCCATGGATTTTAAGGTGAGTCTACATTTATTACTGTGCGTTCAAGTCCCTCATCCAACATGCCGTGTAGGGGATCTCCGAATTTGGGAGAACTTAAGCAAGAAGTGACTTGCTGAAAAATTGAAATTTCTGAAAAACGATTTTTCATATTATTGTGAAAATGTACACGAAATTTTCTTGATAGTTGTTGATCATTGAATTCAATCGATATTGTATTATAATTTTTTCTTATTCTCATCATCTCTTTTAGAAAAACGGAAGCTACAACTTGTGTGAGAACAAACTAGATCGTTCCGAAGAACATTTTTCTCAGGTCTTCGAGGAGCCTTTCTACGAACTCAATGGGGTTAAATCCTAACATTAGAGTCCAGAGCAAATTTTGATCTCATTAGAATTGACACGACCAAATTTTAGAAATTTTGTACTCGCAGTGATGATGAAAGAATAATGAAAAATTGAATGCAACAAATTCATGATAAGTGCACGGAAAATGGATTAGTGAGGGGTGGGAATTGGGCTCACTTCTTTTACAATAAATTTTGGGAGTGATTAACAATCAGAACTCACACAAGTCACGAAAAGGATGAATTCAGAAGTTAGGCAGTAGCAACGAATTGGAAAATATTAATAACTCTTATACGCTTGGCGACTCCAGGTAACGGGTCTTGTCATAGAAAAAAATAAAAAATAAAACATAAAAATAAAATAAAATAAAAAAAAAACTTATCACTGAAGAAATCGGAGAAAATACTTGCATCTCGATTTTTTGGCATTGCTTTTCGGTCACATTTCGTTCCAATGGAAGAAACCCGACCGTTACGTTTATGTCACATCTTCCCAATTTCTCCCAAGTTTCTGTGAGTAAAAATTGTGCACAATAATGATTTTGTTTCCTCTAAGAAAAAATTTAGATTGTAAGCTTAAGAATACTGCGAACAAGATAGTGTATATTCTTAGTTGTACAAACCTTTGTGGGGTAGGTAGGATGTAGAGACTTGACTTACATACCTGCAACAAAAGACCAAAGGCACAAATTACCACAATGATTTCATGATATCATGTCACAGAAATGAGGTAAAAATATGATGTTGAATGAAAAATTACCGCGGAAACGAGTTCCAACTGTTGTTGTACCGCAAACCTCCTGTTTAGCCCATTTACGATGACCATCGTAGTTTATTTTCTAACTAATGATTTAAGAGGCGATGCGAGACTCCCAGTCATGACTTACCTTAGTTTTTGATTCTTAGCCTCCGCTCTATACTAAGTCCATTCGAGACGACAAGACTGCGCGTTTCAACGGATTTTATTACGTTTTTAATAAAATAAGCTGTGACTATTGAAATTCGATTCTAGGATCAAGAAATGGATAATTCGCAGGTTTTTAAAATTTCATGAATTTCATTTTTAAGAAGAAACTACTGAGGGAACTGAGCATGAGAATATCCTTGGTTTCTAAAATGAACAATTATTAGAGGAGATATGACAAAAAGACTGAATCTACTACAATACATGAAAACGATTATGAAAAATATTGCAAACGCAGCTCATAGGCACTTTTAGACGCAGCAATACAATTTCTTCATGCTAATTCTCCATTGATCCATTAATACTAACTTTTTACCTACTTCCAGCCAATTTTTGTGTTGAGCGCCATGATGGCGGCAGCATCAGCTCAGTACTACGCAGCGGCCCCCGCAGTTTACCACGCGCCGGCTCCGATCAGGTATGCCGCCCCCGCAGTCTACGCCGCCCCCGCGCCTGTCAGGGTGGCCTACGCCCCCGCCCCCGTCATAGCCAAAGTCGCCCCCGTGGCCAAGGTCGTCGCCCCTGCCGCGCCTGCTGTCGACACCGACTACGACCCTAACCCGTCCTACAGCTATTCTTACGATGTCAAGGACACCATCACAGGTAACAAGATCATTTCAAAAAACCTTTATTCTCATCTTTCGGAAACACATTTTTTAGAAATAAGGAGAGTACTTCCACAAATCATTTTAGAATACATCTTGGGAATTTTCAAGTATGGAAACCGCATTAAAAGTTAATTTTTTTTTTTTTTCGATTTTATAGATGGCAAACAAAATGTAGGTAAATAAGAAACGTAGTTTAAGACTTCCTGTCTACCGCGCGCTTTACGAGAAATTTTAACGCATGGACAAGATTAGTGGAACGTGGGTATGTTATTCCCGACCCTTTTGGCCAGAACTCAGCTTTCGGCTCCCGCCGCTAGAGCTATGTGGGGCAAAATTTGAATTTTAAAAACTGTGGAGTCTGGGCCGAGGACAAATATGAACGTATACTGTTTATACAAACAAACGAACTGAGTGCAAGTAAATTCTTTAAAAGCGAAAATTATTTTGCTTTTAGTGAGGTGGGTTCATTTTTATCAACAGCAAACGGTCATATTTGTTTTCGGCTAAGACAGCGATTGAGCACAGGGTAGAAATTCATGAGCGCCACCGCCCGCGGCGCGGCGTGCTGCCGCTGCCAGCTTAAAACGCGCACTGGCCCCTGCAAACCTAAAGAGATACTTCAAGCATTGCGCAAAACTTGCACTGACGCCTACAAACCTAAAGGGATACTTCAAGCATTGCGCAAAACGCGCACTGACGCCTACAAACCTAAAGGGATACTTCAAGCGTTGCGCAATGCGTGAGGTAACCCTTTAGGGTTATAGGCGTCAGTGCGCGTTTCGCGCTGGTAGCAAGCCGTACCGCCCCCGACCGCCCGACGGGCGAGTGGTGAACGATTACGTTATAATTTTTTTCGAAGCTATAATTTTTTTTTTACTTTACTTTATTTTTTAACTTTCGATTTTTAAAATTTCACACTAGTCGTGTGAAGTAATAAGTGAACTTTCAACGCTATATGAAGTGTAATAACGAAAGACACATCGTGCGCCATGCGAGCTACGGACGGTTCATGAAATTCTCCCCTAAGCTCTGTCGCTAAGACAGTAGAGTTGTTCAAATTTAAATCCCACGCCACAGCAGCTCTAGCGGCAAGAGCCGGAAGCCAACATCTGACCTAGAGAATCAGGAAGCGCAAACCTACTTTTCACGTACCTTGATGCAAAAACATGTGCTGTAGTCTTTAATTTCAGACCCTGTCTAGATATTAAAGCTAAAAAATCGGTGCTTTTCTATAAGTTCATCGGGCTGATTCTTGATAGACAAAGCAATGGACACAGAAGAAAAAAGAAAATAAAGCGATCTTCTTGATGGAGGCGGGTGCACTGAAATTAAAACTCCAGCCGCGGAAACCGTGCTTACGGGCTACATAGACACACCGTCCGCGTTCCGGGCTCAAGGGTCTAAAGTTCCGAGCATAGCTCCCGGATAAATCTAAGCTACGGCCTTAGCACCCGGAACTTCCAGCAACTGCGCCCGGAACGGACGATATGTCTATACAGCCCGTAACTTTTTTTTTTTTTCAGTGTGGTTGGAATGGACAAAAGAGGTAAGCAATAGACTAACTAACGGCAACCCACGAGAGACCACATAGTTGGATTGCATTTTGCAAAAAGGAACCAGGAGCATTGCAATGTTGCTAAGAGGGTGCGACTTCTTTTGTCCTGGAAGAAAAACCTAATTACCCATTAACAGTTTCTACATAATTTTACTCGCTGAAAACTATGAATCTGAGTCAAAAATTGCCATGTAAATTTCATATATTTTTTCATGATTTCAGTTATTTCACTGCAGATGCATCATTGCAATGCTTCTGGTTCCTTTATGCAAAATGCAATCTAGTTAGTCCATCATTTTCCCCCTTATTTTACAACAACCACCCGTTCCAACCAAAGATCGCTCCATTTTCCCTTTGTCTTCTTTCTCCACAGCTTTGTCTTTCAATTTAAAAAAGTAGCTCGCTGACGAGCTCGCAGCTGACCTGATTGTCTGATTCTCTCATTGCAGGTGACGACAAGAGCCAGCAGGAGTCCCGGCAAGGCGACGTTGTGCAGGGAAGCTACAGCTTGACCGAGCCTGACGGCAGCCGGAGGACGGTCGAGTACACGGCCGACCCGGTCAACGGATTCAACGCCGTCGTCCACAAGGACGCGCCCGCCGTCGCCCCTGCCGTCGTCAAAGCCGCCCCCGCCGCCGTCTACGCCCCTCCCGTAGTCAAATACGCCGCCCCTCTCGCCACCGCCGCCCCCGTCGCCTACTACCACTAACTCAACGCCACCTGAGCCAATGATTCGCGGCCATGGCCCACCAACTATGGCCATTTCTGCCGTACTAAGGAAAAACGCCGTATGGACAATCGAGAGTTGCCAAGTTTCTTCCGATAAAACATTCATTTCATAGGAAATTGCGGATATTTTTCCTTCACAGAAAAAAAAATATGGTAGATTTTACCATACTCTGACACAGTGATATGAGTACGGTAATAAACACCAGACTCTATGGTAGCATTTACCATATAAAGGTAAGTATCCGCAGAGTTCTGGTGAATACTACTATAATTCTGGTCACTTTCACTAAATGGTGTCACTGTGTAAAAAATCAAGTAGACTTATAGTACATGTTACCATACTTTTTTTTTCAGTGTTGACTTTTTTAGGAACTTTAGATGAAATTGCTAACGAAATTTTCCGAAAATTGGAAGAAAAATATTCATAATCTACCGGGAAATTCTTATTTTATCAAAGGAGATTTAGCAACGTCTAAAGGTTCTTACGGCGTTTTTCTTTGGATCAGGTAACATCCTCGAGACGTGAAATGACCAGCAGGGGCAGTTGAGGCATTTTGATCCAAAGTTACCAATTACCATTTGACTGATGTGTTCGACGGATCACAAAATGTGCTCATCTTGTGATACATGTCCATCTTTTTAAGTTATATTTTTCTGTTGAATTAAAAAACTGCCATTTTGTTGCCAACATACATGTTAATGAATATTTTCATTTGATAGACCCTTCTAAAATTAGTTGAGATATGTTGACGAGAGTGCCTCCAAAAATTTAAAATCTCCTTTCAATGGTATTCATGATTCAAAAGAATTTATCGCGGTGCCTAGTCAGGCCATTCCCAACATCAGGTCTGTGCACAATTTCACGCGACTATTACGTAAACAATTTCATTTAGTTTTTAAATTGGGTTAGGCAAGCCCCAACAGCAATAGGCTCGACAAGAGAGAGAATATCAGAAATGCATGCCATACAATCAGATTCGTGGTAACCCACTAAACTTCAAATCCAAGCGATGTTGTAGGGTACAGAATTAGTCAGCATTAGCACAAACGCTAGGTCATTAATGTCCAATCATAGATGGTCCGAATGAGTGAGGATTGGAATATACATTTTGAGGCTGCACTGTGGTCGTTAGTGTCATTTTTCCAGTGGCGTGGCGTGCTTTGCGATGTATCGAATGATCTGCCATTTAAAGCTATGGAAAATGATCGATAAACAGGGTGTTCGCAACGAACACCTTATTAATCGATTCTTTACCATAGCTTCAAATGGAGAATTATCGATAATCGATCATTCACGCCACGCCACTGCATTTTTCCCGAAGCCGATCTGAATGAGGGGAAGGTGTCTTTGCCATACTTAGGCGAAATTAAAGTAAAATAAAATGTATTTGGTGCACTTTTGATACTGTTCTTCAAATGGTCGTAAGTATGAAATTAAAAGGATCGGACCAAATCCTACTTCAAAAGAGAGAAAGGGAGTAAAGGGGGTTTGAAGTATGCATTCGAAAAGGAGGGCAACTGCTAACACTACTTTAAATATTAAATTAACTCATTTTAATAAAAAGAAATGTAATTTAAATTATTTTCGTAGTATCCCAGATATTTACATATGTGAAGCATTTATAAGTTTAATAAATGACACATGAAAATTCCAGTTATACCCCAAGTGCACTCTCCTTCTTGTGTGCGTTTAGGAAACCAAAGTCAAAACAACATAGTTTATCTGATTATATTTCCTGTTAGCCAAATGCATATGCTGGAATAAAAAGGAAGAAGTGAAACATTTCTGATACAGCATCATCATCGTCAGAGAGGAGGAATATAAAACTTATGACACGCTACAGTTTCAGGATCATTCCTTGTCTGCGCCATTGAACAGGAACTATCGATATACTCCCATATGAAGCTATGGTAAAGAATCGATTATTAAGGCGTTCCTCGCAAACACCCTGAGAATCGATCCTTTTCCATATATATAAGCGGCAAATCAATCGATTCATCGCAAAGCCACTGATCGTGTTATCACACAACATGGCAACAACGCATGAGCTTGTGAGATTACGATGAGGTTGAATCGGTGGATGAACCTGCTAAATGTCACAGGAGACCAGAGGATAGGATGACCGTTCAAAAAGAGCGTTAATTACTCATTTAAGTCATTAAAGGAACCTTGGTCTCTAGGTGTAAGGTGAACCGAACGCAAGGACATTAATCGCTAATTATTGTACAATCGAACATTTTTACTGAGCTTGAGCCAAATCGATTAAATGCACAGTTCTCAATTGCACGCCAGGAGTTCTTCGATCGAATCAAACCGATCGATCCGCGAGAAGTTCAAACACTTGCATGTAATCAATACGGGACAAATTAACTGATAAGTCGCTTGGATGTGCCACAGTTACTGAGCTATCCTTGAAGACAGAAATGACTCTTACGTGACTAAACGACCGAGCAAAAGCACGATTTCAAAAAATAGTAAATAATTGGGTGATTGCACTCTGAACAAATCCGCTGCATAATTGCTCGTGAGCCGTAAAATATCTGGATATTTAGTTTTACGGGAGGCTCATGATCGCATTTGCCTCGGACTGGTTCAGTGCTAGTTCTTCTTTCATGGAATTATTGGGCCACGAAAAGTCCACATCAATCTTCCGTAATGGCACATCATGGTACATCAATATAAACACCTGGGACACGATAACTCTGGAAGAGAATTTGACCGGGGTTAACAGAAACCGTACAGTTTTTTCAAGAAACAAGAAGTTTGCTCGGTATAGAGTTATTCGGCAGAATTTCATGAAAAATCTTTGTAAAAATGTTTTGGTTGTATAATGTATACTCATTACAATGATAAACCTTGAAAATTCACACTGCGAACTGTTCATAGCAAATCTGACTACTTGAATGTCACAGAAACGAAGCGGGAAGGATCAGTTTTCCTCATAAAATTGATGAGTAGATATGAAGAGCACGCAGCGTTTCGCAAAACGTGTTACTCGAAAATGAAGGCGTTTTAAACCTCTGATCGACGAGAATACTTTCGATCAGCTTTTTTACTGTGGGTATATGGAAGGTTCATTCCTCATAGAGAAGTTTCAAAATGTTGTTGTTGTTTTTGTTTTATACATTTATTTACAGGTGTTTCAACGAAGCTGGGCCATTAACACCTGGAGCAGAGATCAAGAGAAGTACAAAAAATTGAAAGAAAGGACAAAGAAAAAAAATTAAAATTGGAGATTAAGTCGTTTGAAAAAGGAAGGGATTTAATGAGAAAATATGAAGACACAATACTATTTTAACATCTGCAGACAGTGCACACTTGATGCGGGTGGCATTTTAAAGTTTTGCAGTGGTACCGATAACTCAATTTTGACTTTTTGGACAATATGGTTTCTTTTCACAGATTTCGTCACATCTTCATAAATTACAGCGATCAGCCGAGCAAGAAACCTTCTAAGTTAAAGGTAATTATCTTAAAATAATAAAAAGAAGTGGACCCACATCTCTTGAAGAGCGAACTCAGAATCACGCGTCGCAGGCTCGAGCGTGATACATGAGCGCTTAGGGTGTCACAAGCTTTTGAACAATAGCTCGTATTTTTCAGGAGTAATCGGCCGGGGCAACGGGCAGTCAACTACATTTTTACGAGTAAAGCCTCCAAAGCTTGTGCATAGTGGACTAGCAGCGAATATCGAGGGGCTAACCACGATGTCGACCTAGCGTTATTGGAAACAGAGCGAAAGAGTTCCTTGTTGTCAAATCGATTTTCAAGACCACGGACCATCATATAGTTTACATTTAGACTAAGGAAGATTTCCGGAGATCCTAAGCAAAGGATCATGAAAAAGACAATTTCATCGAATCTCGGGTGAATCTCAGGAATTCAACAAAATATTTTCTGGAATAAATCATTGCTCGGGATAATAATGATTTTCCACTGAAATAATTAAAGGCTACAGAGGAAGAAAATGTGATTTCGACAAATTTTAAGGGAGGTATTACGTGGGTGCAAATCTACCTCGAAATTTTAAAAACCAACAACATTTTTTTCTTTGGTAATTAAGTTGTATTTTGTTTGGTGTAAATTATTGTAATCCCTTGGGCAAGGGTCTATTTCCGAGGTTATAATGTTGAATTTTACGCAAGATCTGTTAAAATTGCCATTTTTATGATGTTACGTTAAAGATCTAAGAATAAGGAGGGATCAAGAGTGGCGGTAGCCACCCCCGGTCGAGGAAAATGACGTCCTACTAAAGTCCCGATTACAAACGGGTGGCCGACACTCTTAGTCACAGGCAACTCCCTTAACTTGAAAATTGATTCGGTTGCCATTCGACTGCAGCTCAAACGACGGCACGGATTCCTACGATCTTGGTGTCTACGGACGCATCTTAATTAGGACTACAAAGTGGAAGAGTTTCATTAAGATCCATTGAGTTTTCAAAAAGTTATAAGCACTTAATGACCCAAAAC